GTAATATTTTATGTTCCTTACTATTTTGTTGATGTTATATCCAACTGTCACTGTCTGCCTTTCTGACTCGGTTAGCTAACGCTACTTAAAAGCAATTGGCTAATAGTTAGCTTGTCAGTTGCCAGGCTGGCCAGACGGCTAACTCAAAGATAGAAGAAGGGTTAGTTACCACTATCTTTGGCCAACTTTAGCATAGCTAGTTAGTGAGTGGCTGACTTGCTGAGCTCAGTTAGCTAGCATGTGCAAACAAGCCAGCTAACTAAGTAGCTAGCCATCTGACTAACGTCAAGGATCATAATAACTACTGTAGCTAGCTAACACTTTCATTTGTGCTAACCAAAGATTATCTGCGCTAACGTAACGTTAGTGCAGTTTACAACCCCCACCAACAGTGTGAGAATATAGCTACATCAGCTAGTTAGCTATGTACCTAGCAAGAAGATGGTCAGTTGGTTTGTTTGGTGATTAAAACTTGCATGACCAATGTATATATACAATTATTTAGGCTATGTTACACTGTAAACAAGTAATTTAGCTAGCTAGACATTTTCATACACATTAACTGAGTATTTGGTGACTTTCTTCTGTACATCAGTAAAATTTAGCCAAATTTATCTTGGTTTTGACCAGTTAGTCTTAGAATTTTTATGCACTTGGCTGGTAGCATATTTGCTTGCATTGCAATCTAGCTAGTTGCTCTAGGGCAATTCCACAGTAGCATAATGATGCAGAGACTTTAAAATGTATGCCAAACAAAAAGCAATGATTGCAAAGTTAAACAAACTACGCAACTCATGCACAAGGACTATTTTTTAAAAACAATTTCAACTGAACATGTTTCTAAAACACATTTACTTGAAGAACAGTGCAGATGCAAAGTTTGGTAACAGAATGACGGTTTGTGCTGTTTGTACCGTCATTCTGTTACCAAACTTTGCATCTGCAAAGTGTAAAATCTGAGTCTCAGCATCATTCTCTGATCATGGAATTGCCCTAGAGCTAATGTAGCTAGCTAGCTATATGCTCTCACTTTTAGTGGGGGTTGTAACCTGTACTAGGTTAGCACAGATAATCTTTGGTTAGCACAGATGAAAATGTTAGCTAGCTAGTTATCATGATCTTTGACGCTAGTCAGACGGTTAGCTAGTTAGCATAATTATGTTACCGTGGTATTTCCCTCTACCAACCAACTATCCTTAAGCCACAGACATTATAGGCTTAGTCCACGGTCTTGAAGGACTTGATAGCTAAGTGTTCAAGTGTTAAACAAAAGGCCATTGCCTCACTCCATTTCATGGGTGATTCTCACAAAACTGGCACTTGACAAAAAAATCATCTTGGATCACTAATATTAGGATCTGTATTTATCTTTTATAATTATTGCTATGTTTATTGATCAGATGTTATGCATTTTATCACACTCTACAATCATTACTGCAACAGTTTAAGTACAAAAAAGGATTAAGAAAATAAATGTCTAATATATATATTTTTTTACATTGCTCACCTAATGCAAAGGCCTCAGTTAAACAACACTGAAAACAAGTATATTTAAAATTAAATACATTTCTCAATACCGCAACAACCTTTTCTGAATTTGTATTTTTTCATAATTACTTGTGTATACATGTTATTTTTATGTACACATATTTGGATAAAGAACAAAAGGCACACTCAGATTAAGCCAACATTATTAAAGTATACGTTTTATTTGTCCTAATATTTGCTAAATATTGGGGCATTACGGTAATGATAAGCAGGTTTCGGAGATGATAGTTTGCCATTGAAAAACTGTACTGGGCTCTATTAGAGATTCAGTAACCCAAAACAAACTGTGTCATTTGATAATCCCAAATGATTTGCATAATACTAAAATCTCTGATCTTAATGCAACTGACTAAAATACCCCTTACTGTACTGTAATTACGGGCAAGTACACTTAAGCATAAAGTTACTTTTTTTTAAATGTTATTTGTCCCAGTCCTTGAGGCGTCACTACAGACCCCCTGGTTCGATTTCAGGCTGTATCACAACCGGCCATGATTGGGAGTCCCGTAGGGCGGCACACAATTGGTCCAGCGTCGTCCGGGTTTGGCCGGTGTAGGCCGTCATTGTAAATAAGAATGAGTTATTTAACTAGGCAAGTCAGTTAAGAAAGGTAAACTAAAATAAAAATTAGGACGTGGATATGTGTGGTTCTAAGGTATTTTAATTGTATTTCTAAATTGAATGGGATGCTATGGGCAAATGGCATAAGATGATATGCCTATAAAGTATCTAAATATACTGTTTTGGGATATCAAACAACATTATAGGTGTGCGCTAAAACAGGTACACTTCAAAATGGGGGATATCCTCCTTTAAGTGGTGGGGTTGCTCTTTGCTGAAACACAAACTCCAGATTGTGGCTTTAAGTAAATTAAATGTGGTTTATACACCCATATTTCTTGACAACCCCTACTTAATGAAATAACTAATGTTTTACAAAAATCTATACAATATGTGTAAGCTGTGGTCCTAGTAAATAATTAAAGTTACCAGCACAGCACACCCATTGACATTAGAATTAGCTTATTATCAATACCGAAATGAAGGTTCTCATGACCAAAACGGACCTAAAAGTTATGCGGTAATGAGAAATGTGTGTTTCGGTAATAAGAGCCCCTTAGCTCAATCTATACGTAATAGGAGACACCCATTATAAGTAAGCAAACAATTGACCACATCACTAAAGCGCATTCATGTCTCCATATACAGTGGGGGAAAAAAGTATTTAGTCAGCCACCAATTGTGCAAGTTCTCCCACTTACAAAGATGAGAGAGGCCTGTAATTTTCATCATAGGTACACGTCAACTATGACAGACAAAATGAGGAAAAAAATCCAGAAAATCACATTGAAGGATTTTTTATGAATTTATTTGCAAATTATGGTGGAAAATAAGTATTTGGTCAATAACAAAAGTTTCTCAATACTTTGTTATATACCCTTTGTTGGCAATGACACAGGTCAAACGTTTTCTGTAAGTCTTCACAAGGTTTTCACACCCTGTTGCTGGTATTTTGGCCCATTCCTCCATGCAGATCTCCTCTAGAGCAGTGATGTTTTGGGGCTGTCGCTGGGCAACATGGACTTTCAACTCCTATGGGGTTGAGATCTGGAGACTGGCTAGGCCACTCCAGGACCTTAATGCTTCTTACGAAGCCACTCCTTCGTTGCCCGGGCGGTGTGTTTGGGATCATTGTCTTGCTGATGGAAGGAGGTTTTCACTCAAAATCTCACGATACATGGCCCCATTCATTCTTTCCTTTACATGGATCAGTCGTCCTGGTCCCTTTGCAGAAAAACAGCCCCAAAGCATGATGTTTCCACCCCCATGCTTCACAGTAGGTATGGTGTTCTTTGGATGCAACTCAGCATTCTTTGTCCTCCAAACACGACGAGTTGAGTTTTTACCAAAAAGTTATATTTTGGTTTCATCTGACCATATGACATTCTCCCAATCCTCTTCTGGATCATCCAAATGCACTCTAGCAAACTTCAGACGGGCCTGGACATGTACTGGCTTAAGCAGGGGGACACGTCTCGCACTGCAGGATTTGAGTCCCTGGTGGCGTAGTGTGTTACTGATGGTAGGCTTTGTTACTTTGGTCCCAGCTCTCTGCAGGTCATTCACTAGGTCCCCCTGTGTGGTTCTGGGATTTTTGCTCACCGTTCTTGTGATCATTTTGACCCCACGGGGTGAGATCTTGCGTGGAGCCCCAGATCGAGGGAGATTATCAGTGGTCTTGTATGTCTTCCATTTCCTAATAATTGCTCCCACAGTTGATTTCTTCAAACCAAGCTGCTTACCTATTGCAGATTCAGTCTTCCCAGCCTGGTGCAGGTCTACAATTTTGTTTCTGGTGTCCTTTGACAGCTCTTTGGTCTTGGCCATAGTGGAGTTTGGAGTGTGACTGTTTGAGGTTGTGGACAGGTGTCTTTTATACTGATAACAAGTTCAAACAGGTGCCATTAATACAGGTAACGAGTGGAGGACAGAGGAGCCTCTTAAAGAAGAAGTTACAGGTCTGTGAGAGCCAGAAATCTTGCTTGTTTGTAGGTGACCAAATACTTATTTTCCACCATAATTTGCAAATAAATTGATAAAAAATCCTACAATGTGATTTTCTGGATTTTGTTTTCTCAATTTGTCTGTCATAGTTGACGTGTACCTATGATGAAAATTACAGGCCTCTCATCTTAAGTGGGAGAACTTGCACAATTGGTGGCTGACTAAATACTTTTTTCCCCACTGTAGGTCAGGTAATTTCCCAATTTGAGTTTAGTAATTTCAGTAATGAAAAGGTGTAGTGAAGGCGGTGTTTGAGACTAAGATCCTAATTCTGAAGGCATATAAATGAAGAAATTTAAATGAACTTGTGCTCATCTAAGGATTACTCCTCTAGACGATGCATCATGGGTGAATAAAACATGACTTACATTTGAGTTTTTACAGCATCTTGAAAAAGTGATACGATAATGAGAAACATGTCCACAGACACTGTTTTTACGTAATAAATATTATAGTTTAATGCAAACTTCTAGTTTACCATTTGTATGATTTATGGACAAACTACAGCAACATATTTTGTGTTTTATTCAAATAAGTTTGGTTTTTCTCAAGTGAAATTGTATAAAATGACCCGAGAATTTAATCCGGACGCATTTCGGTAATGAGAATTTTGGGTAAAAAAACAAAAAACAAAATGTATTCAAAAATAAGACTGTGCCATACACTAGGCATCTTAGTCTTCATAATGATAGTTGCAGATGCATCATGGTTTTCTAACTCAATTTGATAACTGTCCGCTGAAATTGCTGGACTTGGCTCAATGAGGGTCAGTTGCACTTCATGAATTTTCAGCTACTATACATTTCCTGGAACTGTGTATTAATGTGTGTACAGAGTAAAGAACTGTGATGATTTAAAGAGGTTCTCCTCTACCTGTTTTCCTTCAGTTAGCTGGTGTTAGAATGGATGACGACTGCAATGGCCATCCCCACTTGTCAGGTAAGTCTATGGAGGGCAGGGCATGGACAGTCCTTTGTATTGGCTGATTTACTGAACTTATGGTTGTGACATTATCGAGATGGCTGAATGGACTGTCAGTAGGCCTACATCATTTTGTGTGTGTGGACTGCAGGCAGTGGAGACTCTTCGATGGAGAGGGAGTTTTCAGGGGCCCTGGGAGGCCCCACAGTGAGCACCCCCAACAGCCAGCACACTTCCCCCAGCCGCTCTCTTAGTGGTCAGTTCCAATTTGTTAATTCCTTTGTTGTTGTTGTAGTAGAAGTACTGAACTTTATTATTCCCAAGGGAGAGTATGGCAGTTGGTTTTGTGGCTCAGATGTTTTTATTTTACTTTAGCAAGCACATCCGTGTCTCTGCTCTCATCATATGTCCCTCTCCTGGTCTAAACCCTGTCTCTCTCCAGCCAACTCCATAAAAGTGGAGCTGTACAGTGATGAGGAGGCGGGCCGCGGCACGGGGCCAGAGGATGAGAGAGGGGACAGGGTGGAGGAGGAGGGGGGTTCTGAGCAGGGAGGAGAGGCCGGAGGAGGGGGCTACAGGGAGCTGGCCAGTCCAGAGCCCATGTCACCAGGAGGTGCCATCCGGCTGCCCAACGGGAAACTCAAGTGTGACATCTGTGGGATGATCTGCATCGGGCCCAATGTCCTCATGGTGCACAAACGCAGCCACACAGGTGACTGATCAATTGATTGAGTGATTGATTGATTAGTCCTTTATACAAAAATATGAGGTTAGTTTGTTGAGCAGATCTGCCCCGAAACCAGGTTGACATTGTAATTTGGGCACGTGACTGGGAATGAAACTGATTTCAAACTGGTTTGTAATTTGGTTTGTAAGGGGTCGGGTGTATAAACTGGTATGTGCCTCCTCCAGGTGAGCGGCCATTCCAGTGTAATCAGTGTGGGGCCTCTTTCACCCAGAAGGGGAACCTGCTGCGTCACATTAAGCTGCACTCGGGGGAGAAGCCCTTTAAATGCCCCTTCTGCAGCTACGCATGCCGCAGACGGGACGCTCTTACAGGCCACCTCCGCACTCACTCAGGTGAGAGGGATACACATACTGTACACACACTTGGGTGAGGAAAATAGGGTCTGAGTTGAACATGTCAGTTCCTGAGCAAAATACAGAGTTCTGTATGTATTCAAGGTATGTTGACTTTATCCCTGTCTGTCCCCAGTGTCGTCTCCCACAGTGGGGAAGCCCTATAAGTGTAGTTATTGTGGCCGCAGCTACAAGCAGCAGAGCACCCTGGAAGAGCACCGTGAACGCTGCCACAGCTACCTGCAGAGCCTGGAGACACAGCAGCCAGCCAACGCTCACACTCAAGGTAGTGTAGAAATAATACATACACACATACTCACACACTGTATGTTACTGCTTCTATCTATGGTGTGATCATGTCTTTTATAGAAGAGGAGCTGAGGGACCTGGAGTTCATGCCTGACAACCTGCTGCAACCTTCCTCAGACAAGATGGCGTTCATCGATCGGCTGGCCCACAGCATCACCAAACGCAAGAGATCCACACCACAGAAATTTGTAGGTAAGCACTTAATTGGAATTTGTTTATGGGGAGGTGAGCAAAGACACCGCTCACACACACAGGTAACACAAAGGGTACAAGATCATTCATGAGATCAGGTGTCAGTTTAAAAATAATGACCGACCTGCACATCACTAGTTCCTCCCTATGAGTTGTGGTACAGTGTGATTCCATGCCTTCTATCTGCCCTGCAGGACAGAAGCACATGCGCCTCAGTCTGGCCGACATGCCTTACGAGCTCAGCACCGCCTTCGACAAGGATGGGGAGACGCACCACGGTGGTCTGGAGCAGCAACACTACACTAGCCTGGGAGGAGGGTACCTGGGGGGACAAGGAGGTGGAAGTGGTGGTGGATCTGAAGGCCTCCGACCCCTACGGTTGCCTCTCCCTCACCCCTCCTGCCTGTCGGAGCTCCGGCCGGTCATCAGCTCGGCTCACACCCCCATGGCTACACAGGGGCCGAGGCTGGACTGCACTGGGGCCGGGGCTGGCCTAGGGTCCACGGGTGTGGGGGGCAGGGAGGCTGCAGAGGGCCACGAGGACCTGCCTCCTGGCTGCAGCCACGGCCCGTCACCTAGCAACGGTTGCCAGGACTCAACGGACACAGAGAGCATGCCGGATGAAGTGTTTAGCAGTGTGGCGCCTGCCCTGCCGCTCAATAACAACAACAATCACCACAACCTCCGCCACCTCCACTCCAACCACCACCCTCCTCCTCCGCCCCTACTGCACCACAGGGGCATGGACAGCCCAAGCCACACCAAAGACAGGGATGGAGAGAGGGACAGGGAGGAGGGTGGCCACCCTGTTGTCCCCCCACCTCCTGCCCTGGCCCCAGGCTCCCCTACCTCCAGGCAGGCGTTTCGGGTGGTGGACGGAGAGGGGCACACAGTGCGCTCCTTCCGCTGTGAGCACTGCCGTGTGCTCTTCCTGGACCACGTCATGTTCACCATCCACATGGGCTGCCACGGCTTCCGCCAGCCCTTCGAGTGCAACATCTGTGGCCACCGCAGCCAGGACCGCTATGAGTTCTCCTCCCACATTGTCCGTGGAGAGCACCTGCCAGGCTGAGGCTGGCTGGACGGGCCTCTGTACTTAGGGCTGTTTTTACTCTGAGAGAAGGGCCTGCAATGGGTTTGGTCTGCACTGCATCACACGAGGGGGAAGGATAGTAAAACACTGTTTTTGGTAAATGATTTGTACACAGGCATTGATACTGATATCACAAACCTCAACTTCAAATAGGCACATTAGAATAGCTCAATTGCATCACTTTTTAAAAAAGGGAGAATCCTCACCACTCTGAATACACTTTTCAAAATGTCTGCATTCTTACAAGAAAATGCTAAGATAAAGAGTAAATGCACTTTTCTATCCTCAGAAGTGCCTTTCTCTGGTGTGGTCTGTCTACCTTTCATCTCTTATCCGGGTAAAAAACCGGGCGCACAAAACAGTGATGCTACTAGCTAGACAATGTGATTTATATCTGACCTTGTTTTCCTCTACTGCACTTTAATCAAGATTTTAACTAACATATAAAATGCAAGAAAACAAACAGTCGTCAATGTGCACTTTGTTGCGCTTGCGAGCTGCAGTCAGACAAATCAGTAGTCGTCTTCTTTAGCTGCCATTAGGCTCCCTAGGAACTTGTCCATTTAGCAAAGCCCTATTTGAAAAGCACTTTTATCAAATCCATTCCATTCCCTAAAACACTTAGTCCCTGGGGGCGTGGCAGACACAGTGTTGTGTAAGATTGTGTATTTGGTGTATAGTAGGTCATGTATTTTAAGAAGAGTTGTGGTGCAGGCCAGACCCAGGATCCCAAGTCAAATGGTAAGAAGGATTTGAGGGGTTGGCCTCAAATGAGTGCACTTTCCAATTTCAGTTTGTGTGTGTGTGTAGGTGTTTGTTCTTTTGGAAGTTTAGTAAGTTAAATGAGAGAGTTGAAGGCTTTTATCAGTGTGAATGTCGTGGGGTGGAATGCGGTACAGTATGTTTGTTTTGTTTCATTTGATTGCTTTTGTTGCACTGATTATATTAAACTATTTTATAGAAGAGGTTATTTATGGCCTGCACATTTCTCTGTGCAGTGTGTTGAAGGAAATAAAACATTTTTTTAAATTCACTCCACAAAAGGAGAGCCACTGCCACTATTTTGGAGTTGACTTCAACAATGGGTGGAGATAAGATTGTTGGCAATTTTAGAAGGTCCCTGATATCCCACTGTGTTGCTTACTATGAAACAAACCAAAACAATATTATTTATTTAAGTGAGACCTAAAACAATTGTTGTATATTCATTGTATTGTGCCTTTCATGATGTTGACCTCGCTGACAATTCTTGGAAAAATGTATCTTTGACATTACATTAAATATCCCAGCTGGCCCTGCTAAATACCCAAGCTGAATCCTAAATTGCCCTCTACTAATCACTAATTTTAATTTGCAGTCACTCATTTCTTAAGTGGCCTAATGTTGATAAACATTTTATAACATCGTCCCAAAAGGAAAGAGACAAAGACATGTTAAAAAAAGAAGCACTTTCAGGCATATGAAAGGTTTTCAAATTATCTTTATTTGATAAGTACATGTGCATGAGATTGTTTGTCACCTGCTGCTAAGGCATGAATGAGTGTAATGTGTGTGTGGTTGACCACAGTCATTGGTGGTTAAGATTGAGAACGTGATTCTTCAGAAGTGACTTCGAAATGCTTATTTTGATTCAATGATTTTCTTTCTTTCTCATTGTTGTTTTTATAGAGCACTGACGTTGGTAAACATTTTCCTTGGAATCATGAAGCATTCAGATCCCTTCAGTCAACTTTGACTTAACAATGCTTTGATCAAAAGGAACGTGATGAATACACAATTGTGAATTAAAAGAAGCAGTTTGGTCAGTTGTGGCCCTACTCTTTTACCCAATCTCTTAGTCTTCACAGTGAATGAACTTGGAAGCCTGTAGGATTTATAGTTCTTGATTAGGGCCCAGAGTTTCCCATGGTCAAGCAAAACTCCTGGCCCTACTCATGACACAGAATAAGTATGAGAGACAGGAAAATCTGCTGTGGGATTTATTTTTTAAATAAATGTGAAACCCTTTACCTCAAATGATAATTGCCTCTGTGGGGAGTATGGGTTTGGTGATGTTTTTATTTTTTGGTTAATTTGATTTAATTTTGGCAGCCCTGTATCTTCACTTCATTTAATATTTAATTAATCTTACAAAAAAAGGAATGTGCTTTGAAGTGGACTGTATACAAGAAAATGCCTCATCCCAATGTCAGAAGAGTCACAATCTTCTAAAGCAATTACGTAGAACTGAAATTGTACTGAATTACAGGGCATAGTTACACTTAATCAGTTGCATTAAACTTAATCTGTAATGCTGTTCTAATAGTAATGCCTTATGAACGGATATGTAATTACTGTTCAAAGTAGAGAAATTATATTTCTAATGTAATCCGAAATGGTTGGATTATTGAATTGACGTGGAAGTTCTGCATCGATCGTTTGACGCCAGTTCTTGAAACAGCAGATTTAGGTGTCTCTCCAGATATGTTTCTGTGTGTAAATGTTGCTATTGTGCCTTTGCCCCCTGAGGCCCCTGAGGTTTTCACACTGTTTGATGTTGGCTACATCATAGATTTGAGGACAGAACGCTTGGCCATGGGTCTTGAAAGCTCAAACGGTAACAAAAATTGATGTCATAAGCTAGGTTTCCATCAAATTGGTGACAGATTTTCATGTGAATATTCTAAAATCCGCATAAAGAAAATGTGACTTTTCCCGCAGTGGTGCATTTCCACCAAACTGACTCGTTGCGGATAAAAATCAGTGCGTGATAACAGTGCACAACGTACTTTTTCACCTAAGTTTTCATGTACCGAATAAAAATCTAATGTTCAATGTGTTTCTATCGCATTCAACTCTGATAGTTTTATCACAAACTGTTAAGTTAAATAGCAAATGTGCCTACTCTGGTCTTAGCACGTGCGCTCTAGCCAACAGCTTGCGATACAGTGCGGGTAGGCTCTGCAGGTAGGCTAGTCTACAAACATGAGATTATTATGGATAAGAGTGAAAATATTTGTATTTGTCAAACGGCAGTCAAGCATCGATCATCATGTCACCAGAATATGACCCTCTACATTTATTGGAAAGGAGCATTAAGCTCATACCGTGAACTTTCACCACCCTGTGAAGTTCTTTTATTTAATCTGTAGCCTAATATACTGCATGGATTCCCAAATTGTAGTGGGAGGACCACACACCATGTCATCACGTGACTCCCAAGTTTACTTCGATATGATGGTTATATCAATATTTGCGCATAAAGGTGTTTCCACCGCCATTTCTCGCATAATACATCTTACCGACACAAAGATCCCACCATGTCAAACTAACAAATGATCTGTTACCATTTATAAAATTGTACCGAAGCTTGTTTCCATCACAGCTGTTGTGATTTTTATTTATACAGTATGACTTTACTCACATAAAAACTGGATGAAAATGTGGTTAGAGATACATTTGGATTTTTGTGTTAGTTCTAGCTATTTCACATCAGTCACCAATCCAACAACTAGTTACACATGCAGCCCAATCAAAAGACCAATTAGTGAAAAGATCAGAGTCAGCTGCCTGTACAAACGCAGCCTATGGGAGAATCTCAATTGCACACTCCTCCCGTCCTCCTCAAAATCCATTGGAGGAGCAGGTCAGAGGGGTGGGACCTCTGGCATTCTCATCCAATGGGTTATGAGGTGGAGAGTGGCCGCAAGGAGTACGCAATTGCTATTCTCCCAGTGACAATGAGGGGGTTCGATTAATTGTGCCCGTGTAGGCTGAAAGTTGACTGCATTCGATTTGGAACCGGCTGCCTCTCGGGCATGAGCCAGGTGTCCCGCCCTGTCCGACGGCATCTGCCTTCCCAATTAACTAGTTTGAAAATGTAAACATTTATTTTATGGAAAAGAGATGTACGTTTCTGGACGATGCACCCAGGCCAGCGTAATAGAACTCCCTCATTGACTGTCATTCTACAAACTCTGTAGCTTGTAATTGACCCATCTCACAGTTTTAGCTTCAATTTAATAATAATAATAAATAATATGCCATTTAGCAGACGCTTTTATCCAAAGCGACTTACAGTCATGCGTGCATACATTTTTTTTTTTTGTGTATGGGTGGTCCCGGGGATCGAACCCACTACCTTAGCGTTACAAGCGCCGTGCTCTACCAGCTGAGCTACAGAGTGCCTGGGACTTTACTCAGATCTGTGAATTATGATGCAAAAACATATTTGTTCTGTAAACCAAATGGCATGTACAGTTCTTGAACAGAGCTATATTAAAGAGCTTAACTGAATTAATAGCAGATATGTCTGGGCTTTGGTAATAGTGTGAAAAGGCAAATTCAGTTAACGTAACTCGACAAGGATAATTGGACAGGATGTATCTCATACTTGCCCTGGCTATGACCAGTGCAGTTTCTTTCACATGAAATCCATTTTGACCAGAAGTTCAGCAGAAAATCCCTGAAAAGGTAATCCTGGATTTGATTCTTTAGTGTACTACACTGGATTGCAGTTATGCTTTTAAAACCTGGTGCATGAGGTAACAATACTGTTTGCAACACTTTCCTTACTCAGCTTTCCCCAAATAGTCTTGAGGACAAATTACTCAAGCTTATTTTGTATTTCTCCTTAACAGCCACCCCAGCTTAAGAGAACACATTTTATTACTGATGTGCTCGTTTTTGTGGTTGCATTTTGCCCTTGTTTGAATGTTTTCCTTTTCAAGGTTTCTCTATTGCACTGTGTTTGTGTTCCCTTTGACTTGACTATCTGCTCTGTTACCTTTTCTCCTCCTTCCCCTGTGAATCGTGTGGATTCGCTTTAACTACTGCAGAGCATTTTTACATGTACCATAATGTAATTAAGTATTTGTGTAATCAAGATTAAAACTACTGTAAGTTTTGTACTGTATTGAAGGAGAGTCTATTCCAAATAAATAAACTTTACTTGACTGGCTGATATTTCCTACATTGATAAATAAGACTCAGATATTTAT